TAGTAGGCATTTGTAATAAAAAAAGGTAAAATTTAAATTTTTACGTGGAAACAGTATCTCATCATCATAAGAATAATAATTCACCGAAGATCAAAAATTTATGAAACAGTGATCAGTAAATAAATGTTTTACTAAAAAATGATTCGTTGCGAATTTTTAAATTTCCATTTTCTAAATATAGCTTTCCATTTTTCAAATTTTTCAAATTGTTGGAATTGCAAACAATAGTGCATGCAGTTTTTGATATGTTGTCTCTCTTAAAATGGAATTTTACAGTAGTTCTCTATCTCATTTCAGCTTGTTATAATGAATAACGTCGACATAATTTTAATTACCTCTCAGTATGCTTAAATTAAAAAGATGTAACTGTAAAAGATTTATATGAAACTGGAAACGTTGGCTTCATAATGTCAGTCACGACGAAACCGTGATGCTTTTAACATGTAAAAAGACTGTCCCGAGACATCTGAGAGGAACGAATTTAATTACAGTAATCTGTTTAGTATTTGCATTAGCATTTGCTGTTGCTCTATTTTAATTACTCGTATATAATTGGACTACAATATTTATGATATACAAAAATCGATAAATTTTCGTGAAAGAAAAATAATGACGAAAATTTATGACAGTCATATTTTACATTTAAATTTTTACGTGCAAATAAATCATTTTTTGACTTTATTTTTTGAAAAACATTCAGTAAAAGATATAAATCTTGTTAAAAATATAAACATTACATTATAAATTTTCTATATTTCGGTACAACAGAACATGTTTTTATAAACAATTTTGTTTATTTTCATAGTATCATCTTATACAGCGCAGAAAACATTTTTTTATATCTACTGTAGTTTTAAAGATGCAGAGGAAAATACGGTAACAGCTATTTCTATTCATGAGGCGATTTCACTCCCAAGAACCGAAATTGGGCCATAAAAATAATTGTCCAATACTTGCTCTGAGGTCTCCCGCAAACCTTTAATATTTAAAAAAGAAACAGAAGCTTCCGATTATCAAAGTTTTCTCGCCAGGAATATTACAAGCCAGTTTTTACACAGTGGTCAACAAAATCATGGATTATAATATTTTATGTTGATTAAAAACAGTGAATTAATTAATTTTATATGTTGAAAAAAATGTTGCAAGGTAGAAGCAGTTATACCTCAAAATATCATCATTTATATGAATGTTCTTCTTTATTCTCTGTGCTGAATCTACGCATATATTGCAATACGCACGATTAACTTAATGAAACTAAATGTAATTATTGCTAAAAACGATAAAGAAATATCGAGAAAGATAATCATTATTTTTTAAAAGGTAAATGTACTTACGGAAAAATTATATTATGGTTTTAATTTGTCGATCTTTTTGTTGATCTCTTTTAAAATGTTTTAGTAATGGTACAACCATATACAACGAATTTTTGATAAGTAATATCTCGATCAATAATGCTGCATTTTAAAAGAGTAATGGGATGATACATGTATCAATTGATCTCCATGTTATTTAAACTACTTTCTCTTATAAAGTGAAGAATACATTGCCATAATGAACAACTTCTGGAGTATTTTGTTAAACAAAAAAAATTACTTTAAATTTCATAAACAGGATTGCATATTCTTCTTTTATATTCATATTCTTACGTCGTGGAACATTTGCCGACGACATAAACCACCGTTGGGAGCTCCGTTGTACTTAACACGATCAAATGCACGCTAGACACTTTGGTCAAAACATTTCCAGTTTTTTACACTCGGCTTCCAGGGCCTAATCCAATAACCACGAGACGAAGAGGCGCAGCCTCTTCAAAGATTTTCTAAATTTCTGCCTACCTGCATCAGCAGGAAGTTCCTTATTGCTCTATATCGCGACTTTTTGTTCATAAGTCTCAGGGAAATAGACTACGGCTTCTCGTAAGTTCACTTAACACGTGCCGAAGATTTTAGTCATCGCGTAAGTCTATTTTACAGTGCGTTACTGACAAGATCCCAGCCGGCCTGCGGCTCAAAAGTGAAGAGGGGCAAGGGGACTCGGCCGCACTTTCCACCTCAGCTTGTGGCTCGGCCACTAACAAAGACGTGCCGAACTAATTCCACCATTACTATCGAGCCGAGCGCCGTGAGTGGACGTCTCCCCTTGTCCCTCTTCACTTTTAAGCCACAGGACGGTTGGGACTTGTCAGTACTGCACTGTACCAAGCGATTGTTGAACAAGTCTAGCATCCGGACGCATAAAATTCAACGAATCAGAGATCGCCTCGCTGACAGTTCGCCTCGAAGCCGCTGAGGACACGTCGCCATCTTGAACTACGCGCGTTTCACCCTGAAGAAGGGACTTTCTCCACTACTGGGTCGTGGGGATATCTCTTTGGTACCTTACTCCTTCAGGTTGGAAACCAATTAAAAACTGAAAACAAAAAAAACTAAGAGAAGACGCTCTTCGGAAAGACTCACAAAATCAGTTGGTTCACAAACTCCGTGAAATCAAAAACGAACTCTCCCGCCACTATCTTCGCGAACCTTTTTCCAAGTTACATTTTTGTTGCTCTTCGTGGGCCTCATTCGCTGCTAACTTTGCTGGTCATAATTACAACATATTTCATTATCTTCAATACCTTAAATCGTTATGAGAAAAGTTCAAATTTGATCTGAACACATATAACACACAAGAAATATAATAACCATTACATTAACTTTAATTAAGTAATATAGAGTTTATTTAATTTATGGTATCGTCCATACCTACGAACATGTGATGTATTTAGTTGATACATAAATAAATTTCACTATAAGTCAATAACAAGCCATTATATGTACGTAAGTATCTCATTTGAACTTGTAATATACAATTATTTGACATTAAATAGATCATACGCAATAATGTTAAACACTGTTAATTACAAGTGTTGCATTACTTATTTCGAAAACAGTTATTACTTCTTAAATAAAATGATATTTATTTATGTATCAGTCCAATACATAACGCAGTATTAACCCAACTTCCTGAGCCATGATAACAGACCAGAATGATTTCTAACAAAGAGACCACATGTAGTGTCACGCTTGGTGTACGTGTAAGCACTGGAGCTTACATTGTGTAATAGTGGGTTAAGAGCTTGCCAGTACAATTGTACAGCTATAAGCTGACACATCTGATTTTCGAGTTTCACGACGCGAAATACCTATATAAAAACCGTGGGAAAGTATAGATTTTCTATCGTAGAAATTTTATGTAATAAAGATTTAACATGATCGAAAGACCTTTTAAAATATCATTCCGTGTGTGCAAAAATTTCACAACACAGTTATTTGATGAATAATATTTAAACAAGTAAAAGGTAAACAGTAATTAAATTAGTTACCAATATGTAATTTAATTCACTTCAGTTAATTAGTTATTTAACTATACCTACCTGTATATAATTATAATATTATTATAATCAAGAAAAAGAAATAATAAGGTAATATATTGTTTCTATACAGTCCAATAGTTCCCCAAACAAAAAATTGTTTATAACTAAAAAATATTAATTTTTTAATACATATTTGTTAGAACAGATTTCATCGTATAGCAAATATTATTTAACTTAGAGATTATGAACATTTCTTTGTATGTACTGTACATATTGATTTACATTTATAACGTTCAAATTAAAAGTTCATGAAAGAACGCTTCGTGCATTAGAAATGACGATACAGGGAAAGTTAGTTTTCAACATAAATGCATATATGAGAAATGTTGAGTTAAATACGAGCCAATACTAAAACTTTTTCGAATAGAAATGAAATCACACTATTTTTTATACTTGGTACTATATTTTTTAAATTATACAAATAAATTGCGATTGAAATATAATGCATTTATGATATAGACAAGGAACTTTTTATTTACTTTTCATGTAATGAATACGTAGTGTTTTATTGAGAATTATTATATTAGTATATTAGTACATGTGTAGATATAACCAAGATATTAATTAGATTTTAAATCATATTTTTGTATTTACTATAGAATTATGAAATCCTGTTCCACGATTTCTGTTATTGAGTACTTTCTGCAAGGAACTTTATTACAATACTTATATCTACTTATCGTTAAAATGAAAATTGACTTGTTTGTTATCGCTACATGCTTCAATAACGCCCACAAAACAATATGACAAAGCTATTAATTTTTTTAATAAGAACATTGTTAAAGTATAAAATTCTCTTGATCGTTACACACTGTGATTAAGCAGTTTTAGAAAGAACAATGATTATGAAGCTAATTAAAACCGATGCAATAGCTACGGTGATTTGATTTGCCCTAAGCGATAGTCATTTTGAAAGTAAGATTAAACACAACGTGCCTATTACAGGTATTCATAGATCATTTAAAAATGCTATGCTCTTTCGGTATTTGATTAAAAGAAACATGTACACCTGACCCTCCATTTACGCGGAAATGCGTTCCTTGTGGACTCCTTTTACGCGAATGAAAATCACGTAAATAGAGTCTGCCGACACAAGAGAAAAGAAAATATTAATAAGAGAAATTGGTATAAGTTTTAAAATACATATTTATTTCACGTGACCAAATAACAGAAATAATAATAATATTTCAGACTCGCATAAAAAAGTACCGCGTAAATCGAGGATCAAGTGTATCATATACACATACACGAAACAATGAAGTGATCAATCGTTCTTACCTATTTCTTACCTTCATTCAATTCGTTTAAATAATTTTGAACATACCTTCCTATTTCTATATATCATGCTACATCGGAAAGCCAAATTATTTCAATTAGTGATTAAATGCAAGGAACAAAAACTAAAGTGAAGAGTACGACAATAAAACGAATAAACGAATAATAAAACAGAACTGCTATTGAAATATTTGCTGGTAATTGTATACAGGAGATGAATAAAATAATGTAATGTTACTGTTTATGAGAGAAACAAGTGAATCGATATTGTGGCAGAAGTAAACATTACGAATGACTGCGTGAATTGCAGGTCCGTGGCGTAGAAGTGGGTATAGTGGTGTTGGTGTTGATCTTTTGGGCGGGCGCGATAGCGCTGTTCTTCAATCGTTGGGGCAAGATTCGCATGTTGCTGCCATATCAACCCGACTACAAGGAACAGTTAAAGGTTCCTGGCACTGGGGTATGCGCAGCGGCGAACGCCGCATACACGCAACACCCGACTCAACACACCTGCTCTCAGGTAATGCATACTTACACCGTACTCCTCGCAACATTAACCTTTCACAAGCAAATCTGTACAGACTTGATCAATACGGATATAAATTGAGATTTATTGCAGTGCAATTTACTTCGACCAGCTGAGCTTACATTTAAAAAAGTAAATAATAATTTTCCATTTTTATTTGAAAATTTACTCCAAGTAGCACGCTACTTACTTACCTAGAACATTAATATTTACAAATACATACGATTGCTTAAAACGCTAATGAGTGCGGTTTTCTAATTAACGATTCATTTAAATCTGTATATACCTGTACAAGTTATTTTCTTCTTTGTGGTATATACTTGGATAATTATTGTTGTTGTTTAAAAGTGATAATATAAACTGTCATTTAAGGCAGTGCAGTTTGCTTCGACGAGTTGAGCTTGCATTCAGCAAAAAGTAATAACTATTCATTATAAAAATAGTAATTCATTTCAATTCTTAGTTGAAGTTCATTCGAGATAGCACGCTGCTTATGTACCTAGAACTTTATATAAATACATACGTTTCTTTTAAATTCCAATGTATCCAATTTTCGATTAATAATTCATTTATATGTATGTATGTACAATTCATTTTTTACATACTTTACATATTTGGAAAATTGTTATTATCTGAAGTCTATAATACAAATAGAATATTATGAAAGTTCTCCAACCATGCTGTCGTGTAAGTGTTATTTCATATAAATACTAATTTTTACTTACTAATTATTCACAGTAACGTTATAAATGTTTATGAATTATTATTTCGTTTTCTACAGGTCCAAGAGAATTAATTATTTCTTATACTATGAAATACGTATATGTAAGGGTATAATGAAATCTACTGCAGTATTCATTTAATATAAATTAATCTGTATTGACTTTTCCATAGGACATTCAGAGTACATCAAGTAAACATATATTTGAGACTGACACATGAAAATATTTGTGAAAAAAGTTATTATTCTTTTTGTTATTACGATATGATAGAAATCAGATAAAAATAAAAACGGTAACTGATTTACTGTAATAAAAAAATTAGATCAACCAAAAAGTATATAATTTTGTCTTGAAGTACATTAGACTAATTCGAAATTATGAAACATGTGACCTTGATACAATTGGGGCCTCACAATTAATCATTTAAAAAGAAAATAAGCTTTTAAGAGATAGTGTTAACAAAAACGATAAATATCATGTAACGTAGTTCAAGGAAACAAGTTGTATTATTTCAAATACTAATTTTTCTTTTTTAAATAACTACAGATACATAAGAAAAGTGAAACACAGAAAAGTATTTCAACCAGTTATTCTGACACTATATTTGAAGTATTTTCTCAAACGTTGTTTAAGGAACAAATAAAATTTTACAATTCAAATCTTACCTGATTTAGTTTGCCAAAATGAAAAAAAAATTCTATACGTTTTATCAGACTGCAGGTATTTTTAACTTTTCAACCAACCAAGTAATATCTTTTTTATATCACCGTTTTATTCGTTATAAAATTCTTATGTTCTCGATCGATCTCGTGAATATCGTCGTTTAAAACTTGCCAGGTGACAAATTCGTGGTATTAAGTATGCATTCATTAATGACATTTGTTCTTTTTATATCCTCTAAAAGGAGGCACGAACGTAACGATCTGCCAAATCGTCTCGAAATAAAGTAGTCTTGATCATATAAAATCGAATAATAATTTTACATATTAATTTTAATGAATATCAGGTTTGTACATCAGTTAATATCATTTGAGCAATAAAATAATATATTACATCAAATTTATTATTTCATTTGAAATTTAGAAATTTAACTTAATGTATAACTTCTCCATAAAAATATAAATTTTCATATTATTTTCATTGCAATCAAAATTTATATTTTAATATTTTATATTATCAACATTCCATATTATTAAACTACGCGTTTTATACACTTTGACACACACGAACATGCGAAATAGAAAACATTAGAACTTTAAAAAATATTCAATGAAATTTTTTATATACCCTTATTAAATTAAGATTAATAATGAACTTATTAATTTAAGTTAATTCAGTATTGTCACTTGAATAAATATTTATGGTTTTTATTTTTTCCTATCATTTGTTTAACAGTGCGAAATTGTCTATAATCCGAGGAAAAAAGTTTGGAACCGAATGCAAAAATTTGAGCAATTTTTTTTAAATTTCAAAAGATGTGTTTGGGATATATTTAATGAAAAATTTAGTAATAATTGTCTAAATTAAACAAAAAATATCTACGATTACATAGATATGGCATGGAGCTATATGACAACTCAAGGAATTGGACAAATATTTCTAGGTTAAAAATACTATCTACAATTGAAGTTGTGAATTCCAAAACAACACTAGTCCACTTTCTATCATTATTCACTTGAGTTATTGTTGTAACCGTTTTCAGCTTATTCAGGCCAATTTAACGTGTGTGTAGCCAGTGCTTGCAGCATGAGTCAACAAAATAGAAAATAAATGAATGAACAAAGATGAAAAGGAAGATTGATTTTTTCGAAGTGTTGATTGGTTGACTTGTACTGTTTTAGAATTCATGGCTTCAATTTAGTTAAGCCCTGTTCGGTTCATGAAATATATATTTGTGTATTAAAAAAATTTTTAATACAGATTCCGAAACAATGACTCAAGGATTCAGACAATTGTTTCGTGTAGCACGGCATACAATGCAAATGATCATAAAATTAAAAAAGGAGGCTAATTACAATAAAAAGGCATGTGAACTATAAAATCGCCAACAATTAGTTCCGATTTAAATCAAATTGATAACTTGTGAGCGCTCTAGATGAAATTTATACATGAAGAAAACAAAAACTAAATATGAATGTTTACAAGCCATTATCATATCTTGAAATTGAAATTGAAATTGAAAACAAATTTCACCATTGTAGTATGGAAACCTTATTATATTGATATCAAAGCGAATAAAAGCTGTGATATTTGCACGTGGCAATTTGATATAATACCAGGTAATATTCTACATGTACGAAACAAATCGTTGTTAATTTCTTTGTAAATTCAAAATGTTTCATACTTTTTCCAGAAGTATAATCCCTCTCATCCAAGTAACATTTTATTTGAAATAACAATACTTTTCTCCAAGTAACATTTTGTTTATTTTGTATTTTCTGTTACATGACAAACAAAACTGTAGATTATTTTTTAGTTTTACTTTAAAGTAGACTTATTTAACAATATCGCGAATTTCGTATTCAAGCCATTGCATTGTGCTTGTAAACAACTTTCGTATTTCTCGTTAGTTTTCTATTTTCACATTTGGTTCCAAACTTTTTTCCATAGGTTTTATTTCTAACTAAAATCATGTGGAAAGAAATTATAACTTATCATTGAATGATCACAAACGCTACAATTCTCTGATTATTCAATCCAATATGAAGAAGTTTGATAATTATTTCGATAGCATAAAGTTTAATAATTGTGCATACAACTATACACGTTGTCCCTTAAGTTATATAATTGGATCAAAGGGATTCTATGACACAAAATTGAACGAAAATCAAAAATGAAATTGCATTGGAGCTTTCGCTTTCGACAAAAATATATTTGATAATATAGTTCAGAGAATATTAAGATTATAATACCCATTTTATTACTTAAATCTATCAATATAAAGTTACCCTCTGTAAAGAGTAAAGATATCTCAATAAATAAATATTGATCATAAAATCTGTTTTCAAATGCATCTTTCTCGAAAAATGAAACCCCAACGCAATTCTGTCATTCTCGATTTTCGTCTTACTTTGAATTATAAAATTACCTTGATCCAATTTGTATTATAACTTATGAGACTCCCTATATACCTGATAATTATTTCTCGAACAATGCATCAAGCAAAATTCTATGCTCTGTATTATAAATCCTATTGTTTGTGTTTTACGTAGATTATTGTTTGATTACAAACTTCATTCTTCTTATTAAGTCGGATTAAATTAAGATTTCACTGAAATCTGGAAAGCTATTGAAAAATTATAATTCTTGTTCGTACCACGTGTTGAGGTCCACGACTTGAAATAATGCCATTTTTTAGGAAACATTTGCTTTGTTATATCAAGTCTGATAAAAAGAAATATTATTTTAGGTTTACAAACATTCAACATTTATAGTGACATCATTCTTGCTATAATTGTACATACAATTTTTATACCTGTTGGAAAATTATTAACTAACTGGTAATCGATGGTAAAAAAATATCATATTTAAGCTAACTATAATACTTACTACAAAATTTTTAAAGATTCCGGAAATTTAGATAGATATATTGTTCTATCTTCCTTGTTTATAATTGTCTTTCATATTCTAGACATGCTATACATTAGTATAGTAATATATTTTGTCAATAAAAATTCCTATGTGAATTAAATTTGAGGAAATAATTGTTTCCAAATCAATGTTATACTTTCCCGATGCTTCAGCTTTATAGGTTTTCGTAATACCAGTATATAGAGAGCGTACCTAGTTTTAACAACCAAATATTGTCAGTACATTCTATAAATTTAAATAATTCTTATACGGGGAAAAAGTAGATACATATTTGCATTAAGAGGCACCACGCTGTTAATTTTGACCGTTACATATGCTGTTAAGTACACAGTCCAGTGCTGACTAACTTTTCCTAGTAACTTAATCAGTGGTTTATTACAACTTTTGGAACATTCGTGAATTTCCAACATTTTTCCTTGGAAGGAAACTCGGTGCCGCTCGTGATTGTGCTAAATCATGAAATATGATTTATATTATTGTAATTATGCTATTAGCAACAATTTACCTTATTAACAAGTATACTATATTATGTAATTACTACTATATTATTAATAACAATTTATTAGTAACATTTTGGTGGTCGCCTTACAATGATCGGGTTAATTCTGTCAATCCAAACCGAACACAAATAGGGTCTGCAATTAATCCTTTGAGGACAGATGTCGTCATATTGGTCTCATT